TGCGTAATGTTAGCTATTCATAGCATAACGTAGCCTCAGAGAAGTTTCTTAAAAAGACAGATTCGAGTCTGCATCTGTAACAAATGAACACCGGGGACAGTGCTACACGCGTCACATTTGGCGTACGTTATCTGCCGACTGTGAGAGTCATTTCAATTCTCGGTGTCGCTGACCTGCAGGAAATACTGTAAAGTGACGGTTTCAGTGGAAGAACATACAGACGTCTGGGGCATTAAACCTGAAATATATGTTACAGGAGCGGGAAATTGAAAGGTGCGAGAAAAACTATTGGCGGTGTCTGTCATAGCGAAACGGGCATTGGTAGGTTTTTATTATTATTACCCCCTCCTTTTACCTCTCCTTTCCCTAAAACTTTCCACTAAAATTTAAAGCTATGAAAGTGGACTTCAAGAAAGAGAGAGCAAAAGAGAATAAAATAAAAAGAAAGGAGTTGTAACAATTCTAAACATTAAGAGAAGCAAAAAAAAAAACCATGGTCCATTATGGTCACGTCCGAAGTGTTAAGCGCGGATTTCACACATACATTTCACAAAAGGCTACGGCTCTTTGGGAAAGCGTGTATTAGTCACCCCAGTCAGGATGGGATTTTATTTTAATATGAATTTTTGAACTCAGCGTTCGAGAATGGGGGACGGGGTGTATGGGTGAGTTACAAGTGTCTCAAGATGCAAAGCTTTATGACCCTTTCTGTATGAATGAATATCCGTTTAACTTAACCCGCAGAGAAGCAAAAACAGGGTGTTACAATTGCCTACCCTGTCTTATGAAATTTGTCACTCTGTTGTACGCGTCACTTGCTTAATAATATAACGCCCTTAAAAGTTTAATGGTACATTGTTGAATATAAAATATATCGATAGAAACATTTTTGTGCATATGTTAACTAAGTAACTCCATGGAGCGCAGTCCTTCTTGAGAAGCTATCAGTCGCCCGGCCACTTAAGAATTTCCCACCGATTTATGGAACCCGAAGGTATATTACCATTTTCACAAGATCCAGACGCCGGGTCTCATCGGGGGTGAGATGAATCTATCTCATACCGTCGTCTCCTATATTTCTAAGATCAAAGTTAATATCATCTGCCCCCTACGTCTAGGTCTTCCTGGTGGTCTCTTTCATTCTAGCTGTCCCACAAAAACCCTGTATGCATTCGTCTTTTTTCCCATGCGTCCTACATGCATTGCTCAGTTCATCCTCCTTGACCTGATCTTATATTTCATGCCTATAAAACCCGCTTTATTACTGAACATACACACTTTGGGAGCCCCGATAGCTCGGCCGGTACATCGATTGTTCCGTTCCCGGCAGGGGTGAGAGGCTCTCTCATCTTTGCATCATCCAGACCGACTATGGGACCCACTTGGTCTCCTATCTAAAGGGTACTTGGGGGCCTTCTTCAAGTGCCGAGGAGTAAATCAAGCCAATCAACCGGCAAGACGTGATTAACAAACATAGCTGTGTATCCACTGCCTCCATTTTCAGGTCTCAAGAGACGAGACATCGGTGAACTTCTTCCGGGTTACAAGGAATCACATTTCATCATTGTAGTCGCCTTTGCGAGAAATTCATCATCATCAACATCTCACACTGTTTCTCAATGCGATAGTTTATAGGCCCGTATAGGAACGGCTCGCTCTAATTGCTGCCTACGTCTCGCTTCACTTATTCTTTAATCATGAAGATGGAGGCAGCATGTTCCTCCGGAACGTCGATGAAAATCTATCGGACCATACGTCGTCACATCCGAGAAGTACTCTTCAGAGCTCTGTATCTGTGAGTCTCCTCAACCTACTGGGAATTTACTTTCTGTTCTTAATGAACATTTCGTCACAGTTTCGTCTAATTCGTAATGAAACGATCCCTTGTCGTTTTGCACTGCACCTGCCGTTTCAATTTGTCTCAGTGACGAGTCTTCCATCTCCCTCAGTAACGGGACCACACAATTGTTCTCGTTGCTCCACATTCGAAACAGCAATTGCATGTATGGAAATCACTATTAAATTACATGCTGACAGAAGAAGTGCAAACGGTTCGAGAATTCAGAACAACAAATCATAATACTGTAATAAAAGTAACAACAAAAAAACTACATATCAGTATCAGATTGCCACTCATCGCCAAAAATTATAAGAATGATCAAATCAAGGAGGATGAGATGGGTAGGGCATGTAACACGCAATGGATAGAAGTGCATGTAGGATTTTGGTACGAAAATCTGAATAACAGAGGTCCTTATAAACACCTTGACGTATTTTATTTTTCCTTGGCACTACAGCCCCAGTGGGCCTAGGCCTACCTCCATGAATTTCTCCGTTCACTTCGGTTTTTCTAGATCTTAAACATACGTTAGGACTCCTTGGGCGGGTGATCAGCTCGTCGCAAGGCCTGTACACAGACACACAAAAACTTAACATCCATGCCCTGAGTGGGATTCGAACCCATGATCCCGGCTTCCGAGCGAGCGAAGACAGTGCATGCCTTAGACCGCTCGGCTACCGTGACCGGCACCTTGACGTATATAGGAAGATAATTTTGTGACGTGATGGCGGGAAGCCGGAATAGTGAAATCAGAAAAGACGGCCACTGATAAGAAACAGACCTGTTAAAACATATTCTCGCGGCAATAAATACGAGCATCAATAGAAGAACTGCAGTTTCTATGCAACAGCCGATAAATACCTTCCCCCTCAAGCATGTGACAACAATGGGGAGTCCATTGTTTTAGGGAATGTTATGATTCGTTGATAGGCAATCGTGTTGTAACACTTCGCTACAAGAATGGAAGAAGGTTTCTATGTCGTCCGTGCCGAAGAATTATAAGAGGTTCCAAAATAACCGAGGAGTCAGTCCACTCGTGTGGAGGCGGGGTCGAATACCTCCACCGTGACCCTGCGAGTCGTAGGAGGCGACGAAAAGGGAAGTCTCAAATCTGAGACAGTAAAATATGGCCACGAATCCCAGGGGACTCGGACCCGAAAGAACTGCGCTGGCAAGGACCAGCAGCATATACAAAATACAGACCCATCCTCTCGTCAGAGAGGGCGCCCCAAGAAAACAAGACAGTAACTGTCGAACAGCAATAAATATCTGGTCATGAGTCCCAGATTGAGCTCGACACCAAGAATTACTGACTGACCGAGTGTCAGTCGCAATGTGACTTTGACTTTGACGAGGAGTCAGTCGACTAACAGAGGCCCTGTATATATTTTATGTACATTTATTAACGTGTTTAGTATGTAAAATGTAAATATCCTTTACATTATGACAAATGACTTACTACTGCAGACAATATAAAAGATAGACCGGTCTTCTCGTCAGAGAGGGCGCCCCACAAAAGCAAGACCGAAACTGTCAAACAACAATAAATATCTGGTCATAAGCCCCAGATTGTGTTCGACACCAAGACTGACTGACTGACTGACTGACCGACCGTTAGTCGCAATGTGACTTTGGCTTTCACTGTGCCGAGGATTCGGTCGTATCCGAGAAGCCGTGAGTCAAGGACACAAAGCCTCATGGAAAGGATTTCAGTTCTGTACGGGAGGCTGTGAAGAAAATAGTTAGTTGCAAGACTGCGGCTGTGAAGGGTTGATTTTATGTGTAATATTTGAAGTGTGTAGTTCAGTGAAGACATTGCTGAGATCTGTTACCTAGCAACGACTAGCGTAAGCATTAGTTGAAGACGTTATTTATATGTTATAATTACAGTAATCCTTAGTGTTGTAATCTATTGTAGTTAGACCTTTAAGTGGTCAATAAATCCGAAGTACTCGGAGAAAACCCGCCCCAGTGCAACTTTGTCCACCACAAATCCAACTTGACCAGACCCGGGATCGAACCCGTGCCGCCGCGGTGGGACGTCAGAGACTAACCGCTTCAGCTGATTTCTTTGAGGCGATATGCTCTTCCGAAACGTCAGTGGACTTCTGATTTACATGGCATTACAACCCAGAAGATTGTGCTCTTCATTCCCAGCGCCGTGAGACCGTCATCTGCTACATCAGTAATCCAATTCGCTCAAATTGACACAATCCTTTCAAAAGAAACACACGTGATGAGAGAGCCAGCCTCAGACAACGCCATTAGCATCAATCGACGTTACATAGCGCAATTACTGAAAACTTCGTAAACTAATCGACGACAAAATTGATTTAACGTTACTTTATTCAATTAAATATCTCGTAGCAAATGGAGGTCGAGTATAAACAAAATACAGTCCATAAACCCGCATAAAAGAGAGCAAAAGAAGGGGAAATAGCTGAAGAATGAAGCTATTAAAGCTGAGGCGAAGAATTTGTTAACTGTGATTAGACTTAGTTGGAGAGTGCGGGGAGATGAAGGAAAGAGGAGGAATGGGAGTCTCAAGACGGATACAGGACGGATGGCAGGCCATGGTTCGACATCATGCGTCTCGACTCTGGTGGTCCCGGGTTAGGGCAACGAATGACCCCGCCCCCTCCCCCTTGTGGAGAGATGTCAGCTATAGAAAATGGAACTGGTACACAGAGAAACACAATGCGGTAATCACATATGGAGACTGGACACAGGCCCATACATAGAGGTGGTGCCTTCGCATAATGACACCTCCCAGAACTCGTGAAAACAACCAATAGCAATGGTCTTTCATAGTAGAGGGAGAATTTTGAATGGGAATAAAAGGAAAACTACAATGAAACCAAGGAAAAAATGGAGGGGGAAGGGTGTTAACAGTTACCCTATACTTATTTCATCTAACATCCCTTTTCAAAATCAGAATCATCCCTGGTTTAGTTTGGTTATACTCACCCCCTTCAGCGTAACAACTGAACCCCAAGTTCGCAGTAGATGGACAATGAAAGGAAGAGGGTGCTTCGTGTATTTCGGTTACTGTTACAAGGGATGGTAAGGGAGATACGACACAAGGGGTTGGTTAGTGTGTGTGTCCATGTTGGGGGAAGTTAAGGGTAGCGGCGTAGTTCCTCAATTTTTGATCAGAATCATGGCTGGACAAGCGGGGTTAAGCATACACCCACTCTTCTCAGGATATTCATTCCAAGGTAAGAAACATTTTTTTTTAAAAGTATTCTGTTTCCCATGGTGAGTCTAATAAAGCAGACTGCAATGTTAGATGATATAGAGCAAGATATCCAGCTTCGCAACACAAGAAGTTGTCACACGAAACAAGTTGTTTTTCTAAATTAAAACAGTTTACCAAGGCTCCGTGAAATTATAACATGAGATGTTTTTATTTATTTAATTTAAAATAATTGAAAATTTGACCTATTTCGACACCAGAATGTCATCCTCAGGAGCGTTCGATCAGTCAGTATGCTGGTAAATTTGTTTAAGTTTTGCCGTTTGTCTTTGACTAAAGTCGATGCGTTGATGACAAAACTTATACCGAAAAAAAGTATAACAATTATTGTACAGAACGTATAGGGCTTTAATAATTGTGAAATTAAAAATATGGTTAAAATGTGAGTAAACATTTATTCAGTAAAAAAACCAAAAGAATTCAAATGATGGCCTATTCCAATTTCGGCCGGGACATCTTTATCCCTGGGGTCGACTCAAGTATCTAACAAAAATGGGTACCAGGAATCTTCCTGAGGAAAAAGGCCGGCGCGTTAGTCTGACAGCCTCACCTTCAATTGTGAGCTGATTGTCTAGAAAAATATGAAATCCTCGACGTCTCAAAACCCGTTACAGGGATAGCTTTGCCTTTGCATTATATTAATAGTAATGAACTCTTCAACATGAGATGAACTTTTCCATTCATATATTAAGAAATGTTACAAAACAATGTATGAGCCTAGAAAATTAAAAAAGAATAGGAATATTATTGCAATTAATTTTATATTTTCATATGATGACGTTTGGGGCACGAGGTAAGTAGTTGGTTGAAGCACTATGCTACAAGCTGGAAGGTCGTGGGATCGAATCCCAATGAGGTGGATCTTTTCCAATGTACCTAATCCTTCCAGCCGCACTATGGACCTGGGGTCGACTCAGCCTCTAACAGAAATGAGTACAAGGCATATTCCTGAGGGTAAAAGGCGGTCTGGGCGTAAGGCTGACAAACTCACCGCAATCTGTGAGCCGATTTTCTAGAAAAGTGGGAGCCTTGACGTCTCACAACCCTATGGGTCTCCATTTCTAATAGTCTTATGTAAGGAAACGAAAATACAGTTGTAAATAATTCGGTGATCTCATTTCAGCCAATTTAGGTTGTGCGTCCTGAACTCATTTGACCTCGGACATTAACATAGTCACGACTGCATTCACATTTAAATTAATGCGATCAGTTGGTGCTAACAAGTACTGGCCAGCAGACAGATTACTGCATTAGTTTCTTTCCCCAACCCCTCTTCACCTCATTTATCCAAACTTCGTAATGGGGATAACTCAGCGGGGAATATTTCCCTCTCTCACTGTAGGTAGGTGGTCTCTTCTCATCTGGAGTGTTTTTCGGTGTAATTTATTGCTTCCATCTTGAACAATTCTTCTTCTTTTGCCCACACTTCGGGAGCATCTGTTGGTTACTCCGGCACGAATCACTTATCCACCCATTACACGTCTCTTCTCTCTTCATATTTCTAAGCCTTCCATTTTTTATGAGGTTCTATTGCTACTTTCTCTTTATTATTTACCTCGATGTCATGTTTTTGTTCGAGTTATTTTGTTGGCTGAATTGTCACGAAGTTTCATCGTCATTTCAAAGTCACACAGACTGAATCTACTACAGCACAGGCTCATAACCGTTTCCATTTCGCGCCTCATGTTTATTCCAAGCATTCTTATAGGAAAATAAGCTATTAATGCTTTACAAGAATTTAGACAAAACTATCGACTAGAACTAAAAGAAGAAGCACTGAAACGAAGTTTCCGCGTGATGACGATTTGAACATAAGTAGGGGCCTATATGATCACAAATATAGTAAACTACTTGTAAAATATGCCGGTCACGGTAGCCGAGCGGTCTAAGGCGTGCACTGTCTTCGCTCGCTCGGAAGCCGGGATCGTGGGTTCGAATCCTACTCAGGGCATGGATGTTTGTGTGCGTTTTTCTGTGTTTGTCTACAGGTAGAGGCCTTGCGACGAGCTGATCACCCGCCCAAGGAGTCCTACCGTATGTCTAATATCTAGAAAAACCGAAGTGAACGGAGAAGTTCATGGATGTACGCCTAGGCCCACTGGGGCTGTAGTGCCAAGGAAAAAAAAAAGTGTAAAATATTTCTGAGGATGAATCGTCATCAGATAGTCATGTAGCTCATTACGTCATCAGTGAAAATTACTAGATTCTAGGCTCTCGGCCAACAGACCAAGGGGCGAGGGAAGTTTTTATCCCTGTCCTCTGTCTTCATATGAACCGGGATAGCACAGTCGGTATAGCGATTGGCTACGCGCTGGACGACTGAGGGGTCGGAGTTCGGGTCCCAGTAGGGTCAAGAATTTTCTCTTCTCCAAATCGTCCAGACCGACTGTGGGGTTCACCCAACCTCCTAGCCAATGGGTACCGGGGGCTCTTTCCCCGGGGGTAAAGCGGCAGGGGCGTGAAGCTGACCACTCACCTCCAGCTAGTGCCGAGGTCAAGAAAATATGGATCTATATATCCACTGCCCCATACGCTTTCATGGTGTAGTTAAGCACAGGGACAACTTTACCATGACCTATCTTCACTGTCCCCGATGGAGCACAATCCCTTCCTCCTACCTCTGTGTGTCTGTTGAGCCGAAACTCGTATATGAACACTAAATCGTCCTATTCACTTCGACCCTGAAGATGGAGGTATCGTGCGCCTTCGATACGTCGGCACCACAGCCCAAATCCACACAGTGGAAGGATGCAGCAGTAGAATCAGCTTAAAAGCCTACGTCAGTAAATATGCTTCATGCATTTGATTAAGATCTTTATTTTTTCCTTGAAAAGTTTCTTTTTTCAAAGGGCGCACGTCATAAAAAGGTAAAAACTATCCTTGTAACAGGCCGTGGAGGCCCATAGGGGTATGAGACGTCGAGGCTCCCACATTTTCTAGTCAATCGACACACAGATGGCGGTGATGTTTTCAGCCTTACGCTCCTGCAAGCCGCCCTTTACCCTTAGGAAGATCGCTTGTCCTCACTTCTGCTAGAGGCTGAGTTGACTCCAGGGTCATAGTGAGGTTGGAAGGTTTAGGTCAGCTGGAAAACCAATGACCTCATCGGGAATCAAACTCGTCATCTTCCGGCTTGTAGCATAGTGCCTCAACCAACTACACTACCGCTTACGAAGTAAAAACAGCAAAAAATTCGTGGTTGTAAACAGGGAAATTGAAGTGCACTATGCAGTAATAGACTTGTTTATAAAATAAATGAACGTAACAGGCATCATCAGCAGTAGCATCAGGGAAACGGATTGACTCTCAGAGTATGAATATTGGAGAATAATTTTAGGTCGTGTTGGTAAACTATTGAACATATCGTATTTATCATCCTGGCTTATTTTTATTCTTCTGTTAGAATAACGAATTATCTGATATCGACCAGTCACGGATGGATCTACATGTATGGGGGCCTCGGAATAATCAAAATGTGGAGGCCCCTGTCAGTAACTCAAATTTAAGTTTTTTTTTTTGGCTTACAATAACTAAAAGCACAGAGAAACTTCCGTGATTAAAAAAAAACACAAATGTCTCAGTAAAATCTGTGGGCTATATTTCTATTTTGTGGGAGCCCAGGGATGACTCCTCCGGTCGGTGCCCCATTAAATCTGGACCTATCACAAATAGTTGGAATTGACTGTTGGTAGAAGGCGGAATTTCTAAAAAAGTAAATCACGTCCATGTAAACAAGATACACATTTCAGAAACAACAAAAAACATAACGTCATACATTTTCCCCCAGCTAATCCCCCTACATAGGGCTGCTACCACTGACGCATTCCAAGTACAGAGACCTACCCTAAAAGCCTACAATTCAGGGGTCAACACTTATTGGTTCAGTCCTTCAATCACAAAAAATTGTACGCGCCATAAATTTCTTTATAAGAGAAGCGGCGCATAACCACGCCGTTATAACTGTAGAGGTTAAGAATCTATGGAGCTATACCTACAGAACTATACGTCTTTATAGCGTCATACTTAATCAGGCACATGGGCAACTATACTTCTACATTGGGTCCAACTTTCTTAGTAATTTAATTATAAATAGAAATCACTGCTATCCTTGCCGGCAACACAAATAAAATGCATGTCAATAACGTATATATGTATAGAGACTGAGGAAAAGCATGAAGAATATCAGTTAGGATAGTCGGTATCCGATAGGTGTTCGAACCTGACACCAGCTGAAAGAGACTCAGTCCAACTATGGAAATTTTTAAGAAATAATTCATTATGGCTTACAAATATTAATTTAAGTGTCTTGGTTATTACAACTTATTAGATTATTGTTTCGAGGTGCTTCTGCAATATCGTGAGAGATCGTATGGAATATCCATGAATACATGGAAGGATAATATTAAAATGGATCTTAACGTAACAAGATTGAATTACAGTTATGTGAATAGAAAAATAAACAGGATAAAGAAAAGATTAAGTCAACTGCAGTTTATAAAGGCAGAGGCTAGATTTGCTCTCTAAGACACTGAGAGACATACAGAAATGTGGTGATGAAGTTGAATGCTTATAATCTGAAGGAGGAAACAGAAAACAAAAACCGGCATGAGCATGTCCTTTAAGGTTGTATGAAAATGCGTATAATTAGAATGATAATGTCAAGGAGAATTAGACAGTCAGGGCATGTAGCATGCACGGCGACGACTCGGTAAACACGCTCCCGCGGAAAACAATACGCATTGAAATATCGAAGTATTGTTGGAAACGGGGGTTTTCTGTTGGTCCGTGCAGAGAAGTTATAAGCGAGACGAAGTTTAGAGCTTATTTAATAGCTTGATTGTGAAGAGAAGACTAAGAAGCTGGTGCAAAATGGCCGCCAGACCGGGAGTTAATCAGTTGAAATACTAAGATCAGTTGCGGGATATTCTCCGGATAGAAACGACGTGAGCACAGAAGCTGAGGAATCTCTATCGTTAAAATCCGTTACCAGGAAACGACTAGTGAAAGCAAACTGAGAAGACGTAACGTGTACTCTAGTGATTTGTAAAATGTGCGGATAAGCGATAAAGTTATAATTATTTGTAGCTACGAGTGGTGTGTGTATAAGTGGCCTATAAATTTATTCACCAATCCGAACCCCGTCTATAGTCACATCCCTTCACGTGACAATATGAAGTAGACAATTTCCTACGTAACTGAGGGTCTAGTAGCTTTTCAACAAGGACGCTGTTTCAAGGAGTTAGTTCCTTATTTGTGGTATCATAAAATATGAATGACCTCTTCTCATTTCACTAAAATTCCCAATTAATCATTATGTTA